CTCAACGGGCAATAGAATCACTGATCAAAGCTAAGGCCTTAGAAAGCCAGTTCATAGACTTCATCCATGACTGGTACAAGAGACTCTAAACTAAAACATTACCAAGGTTTTTCATGACGATCTGATAGTGGGGACTGTATTGTGCTTCACAACAGCCCTCCTGAAGAAAAGGAGAAAACTTGGTCAGCAATGAACAGGCAACAGCAGTACTTTAGATAATGACCCTGGGCAGAAAAAAACTCAAGGCTAGGGTCATTAGGAGGGTGGGTAAGGGTTACAGACAATTTGAACACCTCAATTATTACCAGGCTTATTATCAAGCTTCCTTTTCTGCTGTCAGGGGTACAATAAACGAACTCAGACTAAAATGCATGGGAGACACATATGTCCAGCCTGAACTTACACCTCCCTCAATGCATTACAGAAGACATAAACATAATCAGAGGTAAAAGCAAGAAGACACGTCTCCCATCCAAACCCTCTGCAAAAGTCAGATGAGCTAACAATAGAGTTGGGCTCATGTGTCGATGGCTTGACATGTTACCAGCTTGGACTCAGGGACTCCTTGATGCAGAATCTGGAGAAAGTAATCTTTATTAGCTTTGCTGGGCAAAGCAGCACGATAGTGTGATGTTCCATATACTTGGTGGGAGCTTGACGCCGCCCTGAGGGGTAGGTCTACTTCCTGGAGACGGAAGTCTCTCCCAACATCATTAGACTACTAGCGCGTGCCAGGCAATCCATTACTTGTACAATATAGGTCATGCCGAGGCCAACTACCCACATCATGGACCAACAGTGTTTACCAATACCAAACCAGAACAACCCTGATGCTTTTCGTCCCATATCACTAACCAGCTGCCTGTATAAAAACCTTTGAGAGGATGGTTCTTGGCAGACTATATAGAATCAAGAGAACACATGTCTCCTAACATAAATGGCTTCACCCATGGTAAAGTGTATATAATTGCATCCTTCTTGTGCGCAAGGTGATGAAAGGCTGAATCACCACATTTCTTGACCTAAAAGCTGCATTTTTGATATTGCTAATAGGCAACTGATATTGTACGAACTAGCCAAAAATGGATATAGGTGGTGCCACACTGGATAAGTGGTTACTAACCAACAGAGGGGCTGCTGCACTGTTTCAAGTTTAAAAATGAAGTTAAAGATATGCAACTTGGTACCCCTCAAGATGATTAGCCCCACTTTGTTCAATGTTCTTATGAATGCATTTATAAATTTATTACCAGACAACCCCAGCAATATCTCAATCAGCTATGCTGGTGGGTTAGTGGTGGTGGTTAGTGAGTGGTTAGTGGTGGTGGGTTGGTGGTTAATGGTGGTGCTGATGGTTAGTAGGTGGTGGTGGTGGTGGTTAGTGGTGGTGGTTGAAGTTGGTGAGGTGGTTAGTGGTGGTGGTTAGTGAGTGGTTAGTTTGGTGGTGGTGGTGGTTAGTGGTGATGGTGGTGGTTAGTGGTGATGGTGGTGGTTTTAGTGGTGGTGGTGGTGGTTAGTGGTGGTGGTTAGTGGTGGTTAATTGGTGTTGGTGGTGGTGGTTAATGGTGGTGCTGATGGTTAATTGTGGTGGTGGTGGTGGTTAGTGGTGGTGGGTTAGGTTGGTGGTGGTTAGTGGTGGTGGTTAGTGGGTGGTTAGTGGTGGTGGTTGTGGTGGTGGTGGTGGTTAGTGGGTGATGGTGGTGGTTAGTGTGAGTGTGGTGGTGGTTGGTGGTGGTGGTGGTGGTTGGGTGGTTTGGTGATGGTGGTTGGTGGTGATTGATTTTGTTGTTTGCAGCGGCACTTTTTTGTGTACCCACACTCATCTTGCGAGCTGGCGCAAAGGATTACACCGAAAAAGTCGATAATCTACTTTCCGAAAAGTAGAAAATCTATCTACTTTTCGGGAAAGTAGATAACCAACTTTCCCGGAAAGTAGATATTTCCCATTTTTTATGATACAAATTTCCCGTTTTCTATGATAATCTACTTGGCAAAATTCGGTAATATTTCCCCCAAAATTCGAAAATCTACTTCCCCGAAAAGTCGATAATCTACTTTCCCGAAAAGTAGAAAATCTATCTACTTTTCGGGAAAGTAGATAACCAACTTTCCCGGAAAGTAGATATTTCCCATTTTCTATGATACAAATTTCCCGTTTTCTATGATAAGTAGATAACCAACTTTCCCATTAAGTAGAAATATTTCCCATTTTCTGTGATACAAATTTCCCGTTTTCTATGATAATCTACTTTGGAAAATGTGTTAATATCTCCCGAAAAGTCGATAATCTACTTCCACAACGGACGGAGGGGTGGTATGTGGAGGGAAGGAGACGTGGTATGTGGAGGGGAGGAAGGGGTGGTATGTGGAGGGAGGGAGAGGTGGTATGTGGAGGGAAAGGTGGTATGTGGAGGGAGGGAGAGTTGATATGTGGAGGGGAGGAAGAGGTGATTTGTGGAGGAGGAGGGGTGGTTTGTGGAGGGAGGGAGGGAGAGTTGGTATGTGGAGGGAGGGAGGGAGAGTTGGTATGTGGAGGGAGGGAGGGAGAGTTGGTATGTGGAGGGAGGGAAAGAGATGGTATGTGGAGGGAGGGAAAGAGATGGTATGTAGATGATTTTTTTATTTTGCCGCTTGCAGCGGCTACTTTATTGTGCACCCCACACTCATCCTGTGAGCGGTAGCGCAAAAGGATTACAGAGTAGAGTTTACAAAGGGTCATAATAATTAACTCCCGTTGTCAGGATATTATGGCACTGAAAGTTACACAGTATTTAATTTACATTATTTGTTTAGTTCTATACATAAAGGGTAACTTATTCACAAATGCGTGAGTACATAAGTGTGAGGCAGTATGTCTGGCCTCACACTTTGTTATTCACATTTACGTGAGAGGTATTCAAGCACATTGCGTATTTGGTTTTGTACATGAGAATTGATATAGTTACCAAGTGCAAAAAAAGTGGATACAATCTTAATATGTCGGCTATCTTGCCATTAGAGATGAAGTGTTGTGCCATTTCACACACAGTGTGCTTGGACCTGTCCCTAAAAGGTTCTATCTTCACACAGTCGAGGACGTAGTGTTCAAGTGTGTGGCCATATGTATGGCCACACACTTTACATTTAGTTTTGTTTACATCTGCTTGAGAAACATACTGCCAAAGGTACTTATATCCTAACCTTAATCTAGCGGTTACAACATCTTGTAATCTAGTGATCTTGTTACTTGCTCCATATACATGTTTCACTTGATACATCTCATCATGGTAACCTATGGATCGACTAGTGCCTGTTTGCACTTGTCTACTTGCATCAAACTCATCAATAAGTTCTTTCCTAATTACAGTTTTAAGGGTTCTTTTTGACAGACCCAAATTGTATTCAACGGTGTCTTTGTTAGACGCGAGTTTGGCGAGGGCATCAACTCTGTCATGTTTTATGAGGCCTATGTGAGAGGGGATCCACAACAGTTTGACCTTGACACCCCGGTCAACAAGGCACGCATATTTGTGTCTGGCTTCAGAGACAAGAGCGTGACAACCTGAGTCGAGGGTGCCAAGGGCAAGTAGTGAGGATAGAGAGTCAGTGATGATGAGACTGTCAGTAACAGTGGTTTCAATGAATTTAATAGCTGTGAGTATGGCAACTAATTCAGTTTGTAGAGTGGATGCCCAGTTGTTAATTCTAACTCCTTTCTCAATTATATTACCGTCAGGTTGAGTCACAACAATAGCACTTCCAGCCCTCCCACAGGCGGTGTTTAGAGATCCATCAGTGTAGATGGTCTGTGTGATATTATCATCAGTCTGTAGAGTGTGTATGTGTTCAAGAGCTCTCAATTTGGCAGTGTGTTGGAGATAAATGCTTTGTATAATTAATTTTTTAGGCGGATACGTCGGTATTGTGATATCGAAGGGAACTGTCCGCCAGGGTGGCAGGAAGCGCTGTTGTGTCTCAACTTTGTACAGGTGGTCTAGTCCAAACATCTTCATATGTGTAGCTGTAGTTTGGATCCATTTAGACTCAGTAGTCCCATGGTTCATACATTCTAGCAATTTTAAGGAAACAATGTTATCAGGATCACCACGCAGAAGCCTCAGGGCTATCATGAGGTTGACTTCAATTATTCTATCTTTAACACTGGGTATACCTAGTTCTTTCCTCATATTAAGTACTTTAGTGCTCATGGGACATCCTAGGATAATTCTGAGGGCTTTATTTTGCATTTTCTCGAGCTTGTCAACGCCTTTCCGTCACGAATGACCAGGGCTGGTGCGTGGTAATCTATCAGAGATCTTATATAGCCTAGGTACATTGTTTTAACAATTCTAATATTAGCACCATAGTGCGGGCTGTACCCCGCTACACTTCTAAGAGGTCTCAGTCTGTCAGTACATTGGCGGGTTAGCTGTTGTATGGCAGGTAGGGTACAAGGGACGGAAACACCAAGATATTTAAAAGAAGAAACATAGTCAATAGTGTTGTTACCTATCTTGAACTGGTATGTAGAGGGAGGGAGGGAGGGGTGGTATGTGGACTGAGGGAGGGGTGATTTGTGGAGGGAGGGAGGGGTGGTTTGTGGAGGGAGGGAGGGGTGGTTTGTGGAGGGAGGGAGGGTGGTATGTGGAGGGATGGAGGGAGAGGTGGGTGGAGGGAGAGAGGAGAGGTGGTATGTGGAGGAGGGAGGGAGAGGTGGTATGTGGAAGGAGGGAAGGAAGAAAGAGGTAGGTGGTGGGAGGGAGGGAGAGGTGGTAGGTGGAGGAAGGGAGGGAGGGAGGGAGGGAGGGAGGGAGATGTGGTAGGTGGTGGGAGTTACCCCTTACAGGATTTTTGGCCAAAAATACTTTTTCTCTCAGAACTAAAATATAATGTGCCTAACTATTTAAGTACATCCAGAATAATACACAAGCACCAAGAAATGACCTCGAAAGCCCATAAGTGGCGAGTGATTAGCATTGCAAAAGTAATTAAAATTATCTAAAAAAACATTTGAACAAGCAATAATCCAGATATCAAATTTTGGTTAACAGATCCTTAAGCAGCATGTTCAGGAGTACCTATACTGAGATTTGGGAGTGTGTGGGTGTGATATTTGCCAATTTTACACCATTCAACACCCTTCTCACATCTGTCCCAGGCTAGAGTTTGGGCCCAGGACAAGGTTGAGAGAGAGCCTACCACTGTACCACCAACACCCACTATACTGTACTTTAGGTCAAATTCAAATTATTTCATTTCAAAACCTTACAATTTTAAACATTACAGTTGGATTTCAAGGTCTTCAACTTAACATTTTGTCATGCAGTTAATTTATAATTTGATCTATAATTAACAAGGATATCTTTTCTAAATTTTTTGGCAAAACCGACTTCCAACAATGGGTGTGGTGTCCAGAATGTCATCACTCAGTAATTAAAATCCCTACTGTACTTTACTATGTATACATTACGTTCAAAATAACTATGTACACAATCAAAACCTTATCTTTACGGACATGGCCGATTAATTTCAAAATAAACACCGATACCTGTTGTCTCGGTGAGGTTGTCAACCCTTCGCCCGAGGTGTCATTGTCTAACACCATCATAAAGATGTATTTTTGATGATGTACATCTTGTAATAGCTACACTAAATTGAGATATTGCAATGCCATCTGTAGGTACAGTCCTGTTATCTTTAGTTTTGATTATGCATACCCAATAGGTCATCACATGGGCACAAGTTTATAACAGTTCTACTTTGGTTAGCACTTGAATGTCAATTAGTGATAAGTATGCATGGGCTATCATGTTGACATCAGATAGGATCCATATACAGTTTATGTTACCTTCATGTTTCAAGTTCAGTTTACAAGATTATTATTATTATACTTTTCCAAAATTGGAGTATAAAAGAGGTCAAATTTACTCAGTGTTTATTTGATTATGTACAGATATTGTATAATGAGGGCCAACTCATCATAATCTCAATACAAGTGCCAACCATTACATAATATATCTAACTTTTTCTTAAGCTGTGTGGCTTGACTCAAGGCTTACTTATACTTTCTTAAATGTACTATTACTTTGCTGTACTTTAAAAAATTTCTCAATTCTCAATTGTATAAAAAAGTTTGTGGTTAAGGTGGTAGTCTTGAAGGTGTGGGCTGGTAGACAGTACAGTTGTGGGAACACTCGCTGTGGTCATCTGGCCGTCTTTGGTTTCACTTCTTGTACACCAACCACCTGCAATAAGATTTTGAATTTAGATTAGTCTTAATTAACATTAATGTAGCTCTACCAATACACAACATTTACCCCAAAATTTCTTGCATTCTATACTTGCATCCTTCCATATCCATACACTCCAGCACCCTCCTGTAACACTGAGCTCCAGCCTTACTGCTCTTATGGCTGCAGTCTTCTCACAGGCATCATCCCCAACATTCCTTCATTGAACGTTATTTTACTCTGATACTTATAACACTCACTGTTAACCATTGTACTGTAGGAGCACAGCACCACTGCCCAAAGTACGAGCGCCCCTCCACTGCCCAACGTACGAGCGCCCCTCCCCTGCCCAACGTACGAGCGCCCCTCCCCTGCCCAATGTACGAGCGCCCCTTCCCTGCCCAATGTACGAGCATCCCTCCCCTGGCCAAAGTTCCTTTTTCCCAACCCTTCTCACATAGCAAGTCACTCATCTTCAGTCTTACATCCAGTGGTTTTTAGGATAACCATACGAAGAGACATAGGTAACTTAACTGGAGAGGTCGAATTAACGTGTGGTGTGTTACATCTTGCTCAAGGTTCGTTCTGTTGCTTCCTCTAAGTTGGTCTTCAAGTACATCATCTGTCTCCTGCAATATATTTCGAGTTATTTATGTAAACTGAAAAGTTAAAGGTATAATTTCCATCTACCACTCGACCACCTGTACATAAAACCATCACCAACTGTACTCAAGTTAATTTAATAATTTACTTAAGTCTTAATTTTATCAAACTTCAAAATTAACTTTCTGAATTCATGATCAGTTAACGTAAGTGGCTAATGAAATACTTTGAATTAATGTTCTTCAATAAGTTATCTAATATATTTACTTTATAATAGGTCACTTAATATTCATTTGGTTGTCTAGGTTAATTACGTTTAATCGAAGTTTCGCTGGTTAAGTTAGGTGGGTTAGGTTAGTTAGTTAGAAACCCAACCACAAACACTTGCTTTACTTACTACTATACTACTACTAATATTCTCTAATAACTAATAGGCATGTAGTCCTGTTTATTTATACTGTCACTGCAACTAATATTAATTTTACTCTAAGATCGTCTACAGACAGTCCTCCAACATGCACAGTCTGCAAGGCCACGCACGCACGCACGCACTTCCATCTACCACTAGACCGTTTGTACTTAAACTGTCCCCAACTGTTTACACAAATCATTTCCTCCACATCAGTTTACTCAAATTACTTAATACCAATACAGTAATGCTGCACTATACTGTACTGTACTACACGTCTATACACTGCTTCATGCACTATACACAAGGTTACTACAGCTCACTTACTAGACTTTCCCTCCCTCAGCATGGCTCAAGGGTCCCCCTCGACAACTTGGGGCCCATGGGTGGTAGTGGAGCTTCTGACGGTTGAGGTTAACGGGGACACCCGACTCCACTGGACCTCAGACATCTCCCCAGACTAGTGGATGCGTCATCCACGCTACAGACACGGCCTAGGCTGCGATAGGGACCTGTGGGTGGGAAGTGTGGCAGCTTACTCACAGTTTATAACGAACCTCAACGTTTCAAAGGGACATACATTAAGGACGTAAAATACTTCACTCAAAGCACATTAACTACTTTACTTTAACACTTGCACAATCAAACTATTAATTAGGTCAAATCACTTAAAAATGGCGAATTACAAGGAGAAGGTGGAATGACCTACCTGTTAGTGGGAAGCGTGGCGGCTTACTGACGGTTGAGCTGCCCGCCGCCTTCCACCCACGCCAAAGTCACGGAGTCCACCTACTCAACCATTTCACTGAATTACGTCACTGTAACACTCCGACGTTTGAAACTGAGACTACAAACTCAGTTTCATTCCCTACTATTATCTTCACAAACAATGCTCTGACTGAGCTATCAAAAGCAAGAATTAAATTGATCACAAAAGGTTGGATGGCAACAGGTCCCAACACGCAGCGCCTTGCTACAAACCCGAGGAGCAGATTTTAAAAGGTTCCCTTCAGAAGTATTAACTAATTCCTCAGTTAACCTCCCTACCACTATTTCACTATGATTATCAGAGTCTCTGCTAATCATAGGTGAAAAAAAAGGTTTACAGGGGCTCGGTAGCAGGAAGAGTTTACAACTCGGTCAACAAACTTACAACGTCTCAATGACATCATCAAGGAAACAGGGAGCACGGAGGACATTTCCACTGGGAGACTCAGAAGGTTTTGTGGACGTGTAAGCGTAATATGGCTCATTAGTTTAACAGGTTAGCTGTCATTACGATCATGACAGTAACACAAAGGCTAAATTTAATGCTATGTAACACAATGGCTAAATTTAATGCTATGTAACACCAAGATTAAAGTTAATGCTATGCAACACAAAGGCTAAATGTAATGCTATGCAACACCAAGACTAAATTTAATGCTATGCAACACAAAGGCTAAATTTAATGCTATGCAACATCAAGACTAAATGCTAGTCCCATGCACTTGCACAAGTCATGCTAGTACCAGCCACTTGAACAAAGTGCTTGTACTATAGCATACATTCTCATATACAGTCCTGCCATACAAGGCTGCCATGCATCTGTACTTTCAACAAAGTCACTTCAACACACAACTACCATACACTTGTATACAGAATTGTTCAAACACAGCTACCATACACTTGTATACAGAACTGTACAGTACATACACAGTTACCATACACTTATATACAGAACTGTTCAAACACAGCTACCATACACTTGTATACAAAACTGTACAGTACATACACAGCTACCATACACTTGTATACAGAACTGTACATACCAGTACACAGTTACCACACAGAATTGTACATACAAACTACCATACACTTCTATACTGAATTGGATGTACACAGCTACCATACACCTGTACACAGGTAACACAGACAGGTAACCACACATACAAAATACTTTCTCAAAACCCTAAAATTATTACCATCACTTTGTGGAGTTTATAGAAGTCTTCAGTCATCAGCATTATTAGCCATCTGAGTTGTTCTTGGTGGCTCCTCCAGTAAGCAAAAAGATGATGTGATGTTATGTGGTTCTGTAAGGACATGGCATTATTAACTACAGGTAAGTGATTCTTCAACAACCTTATGACATAATCAAGCCCCAAACTACAATATGTCTAGTACATAAACATGCATGTATACTGTATTATATTGTTTCTAAAACCAATAATTGCATTCATAAATTCTACATCAAAGTCAAGAGGCAAAAATCATTGAAAGAATTCAATCTATTTAACACTCCTGAAATATGACAAAGGCAAAATAAAACTAAGTTATACTGTAGTACACAGACTTGCCTAGAGGGTGGATGTGGTCACTTTGGTTGTGTTGTGGGCCTTGTCCTCTGATGGTCACCCTCAGTGTACCCTTCACCTCCCTGTTGGAATTATTAAGTAATGATTGTACAACATTTTTCACTCCTACAATTTCTCCAAAATGCCTGCACAGGGCACTTCTGGGAATGAGAGATTTCTGGGTAACGAGACGATTCTCTCAAACCCAGAAAAATCCCTCATCCTTAGAATTTTTCCAGGCACGTAAATTTTCTTGGAATTTTACAGAATGATGCATAATTTCATCTCTCAAACCCATAAAAAATTCTCCCATACCCGAAAATTTTCCGGGCACAGGAATGGGAAATTTTCTTAGAATTTCCCAGAAAATACACCTCTTGGAAATCACTTCCATGTACTGCATACATCAGTACAGTAGTAGTCTCTATAATCTCTTCTGATCCATATTACAGCTACATAACATTCAAACTCACTGCACTATGGGAATATCTACGTTTTCGAGTGAGGAGTGTCACAGAGAACGGTCAACATTTGGAAGGGGTAATTCGTATGATGTATGTTGTTTTATACGAATTATACCAGTATCCGGGCATATAATCTTAAGTACGTATACTGATAGTACTAGGGAGAACTCAAGGTACCTATATGATGAGGTGGAAGGCCCAATTAGTATGAGCTAATGTACTATAGTGATTAAGTATGACTGTGTCTGAAGGTTATGGTACTTACGTCCGTGTATGATTAGTAAACATAGCTACCTCAGGTATCAGATGAAAATATAGGAGAACAATGATCTGGGAAAAAGATAAATGTATCAGACATATGTGAAGTGTTGGGATTGGCCCATAAACTATACTCCAAGGAAAATATTTTAGGTACCTCAGTGTGAGCTGAATATACATAGTTACCCCATGTAACGAATAGCCACGAACAGTGTAAGGATTCAAGAATCTTATGAACATGTTAAACAATTGCAAAGTGTGGGGGGAATGAACCATACCCAAGCCAAGAACCAAGGCCTTTGTTCGCACTGGAGCCTAAACAGCCTACGGCTACAGTTTCAAAGTGTACACGCCTGTGAGTGATAAAGGAACCATGGATACAGACCAGTGAGGTCAGAGAGCATGCTTGGCCCAGCAACCACAGTTCTACTTTGAGTATCCCACCTGGTGTTGTGGGTAATGCTTATGTCCACTATGCAACCTCTCCTAAGGATCTCTAGACATCTTACACTTCAACACCCTGGATGTGAAGAGATGTTGGTGCTACTTGAGGTGCACACAGTCACTACTTTAAGTGAACTAATGATACTGGATGCAGAAATAGTCCTGGTATGAATGCCTGGGAAGGATCTCTTCTACCTAACAAGATTATAGTGTGAGACGGGTACCTACTGTGTGTACCCTGGTGCCAAGAATGAGTTGCAGCACCTGTATGTATTGTGTGTATTATTGGCTGTTCCTTATTCAGGGGATATTGAATATTTTGGTGCTACAATATTGAATATTTTGGGTGATATTGAGGAAGGAATGACCTGGGTAAAGAGGTCAATGATTTTGTATGGAGAGCAAAGACCTTAAATAATTATTTGGAGAAGGTTGGGTAATCTTGTGTGGTGCAGTGACCTAAATAATTGCTTGGGGATAGTCAACTATTTTGTAATGTGACTGAATGCAATATTTTTAATAACTAAAATAAAGTGTCATAAGAATACTGGTTGGTGTTTCACCCTTCCTTCCTTTCTCAACTTGATTAATGAAAAACATGAACTTAGTGCCTGGATTGCTCTGGCAGCTACCAAAAGAACACTACACATACTGCCCTGTGGTCTGGTGGCAGCAACCTTAACTTAAGAAGTAAGTTAAAAAAAAACATAATATTAAGTGACTGCACTAAAGGGCAGTATATCCAGACCGTGAATATTCAGGAAAATTATGAAAAAATTTCTCTTCCGGGTATCGGAGAGTTCCAGCTAAGAGGGATTCTGGTTAATGGAGATATTATACAGTGTTTATGGCCAAAATTTGCAACCAGAGCCAAATGGACTTAATCACGATGATTTAGTGGATTGCCTAAACTAATTCTTTGAGGGCAAGTCATAAGACAAGTGGGCCACTGACCTGTTGCTGAAGATATATCCACTTGGTCCATGACACAGCATCCCAGGGCTTCCACCAGGGCCCCATCAGGGGCCCACCAGGGACCCCCACATCCTCTGTAAAACACTTTGGCTTACAACTAGCATTCAAATTCAGAATAATTTTATGATTTAATCCACAACAAGACCCAGTGACATCCATCTAATTTACCCCTATTGTTTTATATTATACAGTTTTATGTACTAAGCCCCAGCATCAAGGATCATATGCTCTGCCAAGGGGACTATGCAGGGTGATGACTTTATTGCACCTGAAACCCCAGACAATATTGTATCATGATGAATTAAATCTGTAGATGAAGAAAGGAACTCCAATAACAAGCAAACTTATAGGGAGAGAATTACCTACATTCACTGTTCTGCAATTAATCCAGGTAATCAGTCCTATAGCGGCCCCCTCGGTTGCCTCTGTTTCTTGTTGGGCATCAGAAACACAATCATCCAGGAGTCCTTCTGTAATGAAGAAGTTTGAGTTTAAGAATATTGGAATCCTATTGAGTTGAATATTTTCAGTTTTATTTCAAGTTTTTCCTTTTCAATTTGAGATAAAATATGAAAGACAATTTTCACATACAAGACATGACAGCCATTCATTTGTAGACCTTAATCTCTCATGAACAGACATGCACAATACACCAGCAGAACACATGTACTGCCTCCAGCATTCAGAATATTATTCACAACGTTTCAGCACAATCATATTCAGAGGTCACATTTACCACATACTGTATACAACATCCACACCAACATCATTGGCACAAACTGTTACTCAACCTGACAAAACTCACATTATACAGGCAAGATTCAGACATGTACGTATAGTACAATCACAAACTACTACAGGGTAATTCTAAATTGTACAAATTGTAAACCCTACAACTAATACAACTACAGTAATGTATTAAATAATGTCAACTACACAAGTTAAAAAGGCGGCCTTTCAATGTACAGGTACACTACCGATTTTCCAGGAACTGATGGTCCGCCACCTCGTTTAGTCCGGACAAAATTACGAGAGGGCCTTTGAAATTCCTGCAACTGCCAGACTAGTTTACTGGATGGCCACAGATGGCATTGCCCTCAACTTCCAGACCTTTGTGATTAGCTCTACAGTTCCAGTAAAATTCTAAAATTTGCCACTTTGGGAATGGTAGTACAGCAACAGTCTTTGTAAGGACTGTACAGTAATTAATAAACTTGTTTCATTTATACTGTACTGTACTAATAAACCTGTATCATTTATATTAATGCATTACCGTACATTAAATAATTTAATTCACATTTAATTTACATTTAACATTTGTTTAATTTAAGTTTCTAGCGGTCCATGGTGTTTTAAAGACACGGGAGATGTATAATTAGTGGGACAGAGGTGTATTGTTGAATTACAGTATTATTACGTGACCTAAGTTGGTCCAGCCAAACGGATAATCCGGCAAGGCTTTGGAACCAAGGGTGCCGAAAAATCGGTGGTGTACCTGTACTATGCAGTACTTTCAGAGGAAAATACATGTAGTACAGTACTGTATATTATACATACTAAATCATGCAGACACAATAGCATTCTGCTAATAGTATACATACTAAATCATGTAGACACTACAGCATTCTACTAATATACACAATATAACTTCTAAGAAATTCACTACATACTATATACATTCTCTCCTCGACTTACGACATACTTGACTTACGACAACCCGGACATACGACGGCCATGGGCGTATAAAATATTTTTCATGTTACGGATTTTCGAGTCCCGACATTAGTGATCACTCTGTGTACTGACAAAATTTTTGTTTGTAATTCCCTTTAATATAGCTGGCAAGCGTAAAAGTGAGAGTTCTCGTGGTGCTGAGAAGAAAAAGAGACACCTATTTTAGAATTTCTATGTATTATTTTCGCCTTTTCGACTTACGACCTGGTCATTGGGACGGAATCCCGTCATAAGTCGAGGAGAGACTGTACCGTAATCATACTACTGTAATCATTGCTGTAAACTTTCCCAGAACTACAGCACCTCTTGGCCTGGCAGGAGTAAGCCCTACAACAAAGACGGCAGGATAACCCTGGCTGGGGGCAGGTGGGCTGAACATAACATTCACAAAGTTTGTTCAATCAGTTAAAAGATGGAGCACAAAGTTCACATGGTTTAAGTAGAAGCAATATGTACTGATAAAGTTCACTCATCCATTAACTAGATGGATCACGACAGTCACAGCTTGTTAATATAAAACCCATCGAGCAAATGGTGTGAACTGAATATGATAGTTCAATGGCCGAATTATTCCAACAGCCTGAATGACTGGCCATCCTGTTGAAAAAAAAAATCAAATAAATAAAATCAAATGAGAACATGACATTTTGTTCATAACCAGGACATGTACCAACAACACTGCTAGGTACAAAATTCATTAAACTGGACATGAAAGGTACAGTACAGTACAGTAGTGCAGAGCAGATTTGGGTACAGTACAGTACAGTTCAGTAGAGCAGAGTACAGTACAGTACAGTAAGTACGGTACAGCATTAAAAAGATCACCTGAAGATTTACCCCTCAGCAGACATCACCTGAAGGTCAAAATTACAGTGGTTAATATTAGGTTTAATAAGCTGTGGGGAATATTCAGGGGATTCAAATAAAATTCCTGAAATTACAAAGTTATTTTGAAAAAGCACAAATATAATAATAAATCAAGAATATCAGCATAAGTCTGGAATTGTTAGAAAAGAGAATGACATAATTAAAGACAAAGGTTATAATTATAAGCCTTTAGGAAATGTAAAAATATACAGTAGCCTCAAATATATCAAATGATTTGGCTACAACTGTAAACCACATCCACCAACACTGTACCAGATATTTAATCAATATCAAACCTGCCACATGTTTAAATATAATAAAACATGGTGCAGTATAGTCACATATGTACAACTGATCACATTAGCATCATCTGTGGAGAGCAACACAGGCACCAATGAGGAGCCCACAGTAAGTTACCAAGGGAATAAAATTCTTTGATCAAGTAAGTCAGTCAGTCAGTCAAGGTTTGTGTCAAAGGTAAATAATGCAGTAAATTATTAAATATGGGACAGGTGAATGTAACAGAACCTAGTTATGGTATCTTACACTGATGAAGATATCCACCAGATGAGCCAAGGCCATGTCATCCAAGCTTCGGCATCACCACAAGATCTGAAAAATACATCCATTATGTCACAGGCATCAACACACACAATGAATCAAGACAAACCTGCACTACATGTTACTTGAAGCTGTCAGTGCCTTAAATAATAATAGGATGATGATATTTGTCAGGTTAGGTAGTTTTCTTAGACTACCACCAGAAAGAGTTCATAAAATTGCATGAAACTTAGTGTAAATTCTTGATAGTTTATTAAATAGATAAAGGAAAATGAGAATGCACAGAACCTATTAGAACTTGACCTAACCAATCTTACCTAAAGTAAACTACCTAACTTGAAAGAAAAACCTTTCAAAACATAATTAACACTGAATGGATTCTAGTTTCCATTTATCTATTTAATAGATTGTAATTAATGTTACCTCAGTGTTTCATCCATTTCCATCAAATTCTTCTGGTTAGTAAAAAAAAAACCCTACCCAACTGACAACCGGACAAATATCCACAGTGATAATACAGGTCACATCTACTGCCTGTTATGTGGAAATCAAGTTACTGTTACTTACCTAACCTGACAAAACTGTAATCAGGAATAATCTAAATATAGCATATATGGCAGTATTTTTTTTGATAGATCTTTTCTTACTATATTTTCATTGCTGAGTTCAGATAAGATATTCATTTCATGGGTAAATGCTTCATTTAGTAGATAATCAGTAAGGCAACCTGATCTAGGCACGACTTTATCCTCTGCTCAGTGTTTGTTGAGCTGCTCAGTCCGAATAGCTTCTCTCACATTCATAAAAAGCGTAAAATTACACAATATCAGAATAAGTTCACTGTTTAATATTCTGGAAGTTAGGTAATGTTAAGTAGGTTTCTTTGGTTAGGTTGGTGCGGTCTTCTAACAATGCTTGGGCCTCTTATGTTTATCAACTAAGGTTAGGTTAGGTTTAATTTACAAATAACCATGTTTTAACACATTTGCCCTAACTACGTCAGTGTCCACAGCAAAATAGTGAAATTGTGGCATTTTAAAATTAATTTTCTAAGAAAAATCTATAACAGGTATTTCGTCAATAATTACCATACTCTAAATATAAGTTATATAACAGTATATGTCAAGGGCTAATATATGATCATGACCGTCAGTGGTTTGGTAATTATTGGGGGTGTTTTTAGACAGTCTTGTGCGCTGATTACTTTAAGTTCAATTAATTTTCTTGTGTAAATGTTTAGTTTTCTAAATATAGGCTTGTTAAGATATAGGTTAGGTTAGCACATGATTTCAGCTATATTTATATTTTTTCCCCAACATAATACAGTAATCTCTAATAAAATAAGTGAAAAATGGGTATTTTTAAACTTGTTTTCAATTAAAACAGCAGACTGTCACATTCTGAATAATTACCACACCAAGACCTAAATTGTTAGTTCTCATAATCTTGTATTTACAAACTTTACATCAACATAAAGCTGCCAGCATCATAAACCTGCCTTGAAAACATTCTAGGCGAAATTTCAGTCATGCACAGGTCTTTCTCTCGCTTTATTAATATGTTTTTCATTATGTTTAGACAATTCTAGGATCCTTTTCTTCTGTGATATTTCCGCCGGAAATTAAGGATAACCGAGATATTAATTTTTCAATATTATTAGATTTGGTCAGTCACAAGTGTCGCCATTTGTTGTTCGCGTCTCACAGAGAAAGTTTGACCAGCCATCAGCAGTCCTCCTCACCTCGTTGGCTTCTGAAGCATCTACAGCGCATGTGCTGGGGAGGGGGTTATTGGCTGTAGCGATAAGAGACTTGTAATTGGTAAAGAGTTTTTTTAGCTCATGAACAATGCGTGGGTGCGTCGGGAGCGGAGATTTGGTTCTTCACTACCAGAATAACCAGATATCGCTGAACAGGTGGAAGAGCTGTGCCAACATTGTGATAGAGATTATTTTACGCCCCAGCTTATTTCACCTGAAGATTAACTACCTTAATGCTAACTTAACCTAACCTAAACCTATTCTATCCTAACCTAAATCTAACCTATCCTAACCTAACCTCATCCTTCCAAAATAGTTTTAGGGTGGTTTAATCTTCAGGTGACATAAGCTGGGGCCATGATTCTTCAGGTGATCCAAAAAATATTTTAAAACTGGTCTTCATTCAATAACAAAGACATAAAATCAATGTCCTTTGTTGTTATTATTCAGTAATTCAATCCCTTCTATTAAAAACGTCTTTAATTTTATGTACTAACACTACAGTAAGACAAATTTATTAAAACAAATCTTAACTTACAACAAAATGTGTCCTTTTAAACGTGAGGAAACTATATGGTATAAATATCCCCCAAACAACACAACTCCTCCATTTTTAAATAATACTCTTTGTAGTACTTCTCTTACGCCATTTATATTCTCGTTGGACATTTAAATTCATTCATAAATCACCGAGGGAGACGAAAGTATTTATTCCACACAAACCCATTAATATAATTATCTTTTTTTAAGATTTTCCAAGATAAATTTTTCTCGCTGAATATATTGGAGATAATAACAGTTTGGGGAAAGGCTTAATAAATAAATTATTGGGTCTTATAAGAAGGTCGTTCAGATATCTAGACGGTCCGTCCCTCGTGACGGTCTTCAGGAGTGAAGTGCTTCCCCATCTGGAGTACTGTCACCCCGTCTGGTCCCCGAGATATGCTAGGGACTGTCAGTTGGTTGAAATGTTCAAAGGAGGGCCACCAGACTGGTGCCTGCACTTCGGCATCTCAGCTACCTGAGAGATTGGAGCGCCTGAACTTTGTAGCTTATACTACAGACGGGCAAGGGGGGACCTAGTTGAGGTTTATAAGCATCTCAGGGGGCACTACTCAGTTGAGTGTCCTTACTTGGAGCTGGCGGACGCTCGCCCCACAAGGGGTCACAGCTCAAGATTGAAGAAGCCGCAAGTCCGGAAAACCGTGAGGGCAAACTTTTTCGGAGTGAGGGTTGTAAACTCTTGGAACAATCAACCAGAGAGTGTTGTGACGGCACCGAGTGTGAGCTCTTTCCAGACCAGACCTGACCAACACTGGAGCAGGTTCAGGTACATTCAGGAGCCGGTGCATGCCCAGTACTTGACAACAGTGCGTAACAGAGACGTGACCGATCGCCCGGGCGGCGAACAAGCCGATCAGTGGCGAAGAGGATAACAGAAAAAGATTAATTAATAAGCTATGACCTTTGACCTTTCTTACCATTGTGGACAGGGCTTGGAGGAGGGGGGGTGCCACTATCGTCAACAAACCGCTTCGTCACCATTATTTTTAACTCGTTTCGTCACCCCGTTCATTCCCGTCATTATATACACGAAAATAACTGTTGCTTGGGATATAAAATAATAAAAAACACTAAAACAATTTATTGAAGACGAAAATAAATAATACATTGTTAATATGCCTGCAATCATCTCACTGCTCGGTGGTTTATGCGCTGGTGCCAAATCACCTTCATTTATTTTGTATTTTGTTTATTTACCAATTTTGAATCATTTTCTTTATTAAACAATATATAATATTCATGTATAGTAGCCTAATAACACAATAATTCTTAATTTTTGTTCTTTATTTGCTTTAATTACCAAAGTTGAATCTTTTCTTTATTAAATAATATTCATGTATTATAATAACACAATACTTCTTGAGTTGTCTGTGTACATGTGTAATTCCTATGCGTGTAAAATAATAAGTTACAATTTGTCACTAATACCAGCGACTGTTAGTGATGACGAAACGGAATTGATATTGGTGACGAGTTGGGGTTATGGTGACGAACTGGGTCGGTGACGATGTGGATTGGCGACGAAATGGGATGTATCCGTTGATAGTTTTATCCTGGCATCACAATAGTCTCTACACCCTCCCCTCCACCCCTGCATCACCTTTCTAATTAACAATTCGATAATTACGTTAGAACATATATCCCAAGAGAAACAATACTAGTCATGTGATGGAAGGTAACGCCACATAATGCCCACCATAAAGATTGTAACTGCACCACTAAACCTCAGCCGAAACACCAGTATCAGAAGGCGATAATGGAAAACCGTCCTTAACGAGCTGGGCCATACGAGCTCAAATGACCGCTCTCACCTCAGATCACCGCTACCACCAAATAGGAAGCTAGTGTCTATTAAGGCCGTATCTGTCATCTTTGTAACTTACTCACCATTAACTCCCTACCATCAGAACCAACGTTAGGAGACTGGAACATCAGTATAATCTCAAAAAGATGCATAATGCTATTCAACGGCACTTTGTTACAGACTCTACCGAGTGGAAATAACTAGGGAGAATTCATTAATGAGAGATAAAGATGTTAGCCAAATATTACGGTACTGTCTACTTTATGTTAATTAAAATGTAAATTCTCGACTTATATATCTGGAATTGTTTCGTGTTTTAAGGAATTGGTTGTCAGTTTGTGGAGTGTTGCAGAGTAGTGTCCACTATAATATAACAAAGAAAATCCGGCAATTTTATAATTGTTTTCAATCAATTTCGCTCACGGGTTAATATGTCCTATATAATTACTAAAATAAGCCCGAGATATAGTGCTATTGGCCTTGTGAGTTAGTAAAGCAGCTCTTCATCGAACAAACCTTTCAGTACAGAACACCGTATTAAATGTTGGAGAATACACATAGGGAACACCTGACACCTCCCTTAGAAGACGCTATTTATACAGTTATCCACGTGTATCTCATGTGCAAAGTAGTGCAGGGAGGCTTTTTTTTTTCAGGTGCTATTACAAGAGTCCTGTTAGTAAGTAAGAACTAAATTTTCAAGTAACCTGTATTGGTGGTGCTCAAAGACGAACTACTAATGACGAACCTCCTGTATAGGCATGTGGGGTTTCGTGATGCTGGTTCACATTCAGGATGGGTTTGAGAAAGGAAACTCACAATGTACTCTCTGTATACATATTGTAATGGATGTACAGTGCAGCTTGGTGCTGGGAAGTGGCAGCGTGGTTACAAGCGTGGAGTAGAGAGAGCTGTTCGGGAGCGTGCTCAGAGGAGGTGTTTGTTGCTGCGTGGCTGTAGGTAGAAGAAGGGCAGGTCACGGCGAGGTGGGGTCTTATATAGCGGAGGTAGGTGTGGCTTGATAGTTGACCTCGGCTATGTTAGGCGGCGCTAGTAACCGACCTTAGACCACGAGACGTTGGCTGGGGAATTCAAAAAGGGGTCGGCTAGTCAGCGACAAACGGCAGTTGTAGTCGTAGGGGAAATATCCACTACAATACTCCCCCTTCCCTCCAGGCAGTGCAGGAGACTTGCTGTCTGCAGGGTTGTATCCCACATGTGAGACATAACGGGCGAGGGTGTGGATGAGCCGGCCGCTACAGGAAACAACTTTGTCTAGAGACACGAGACCTGTGGGAGAAGCAGAGGGAGGAGGGTTGTGGAGGCGAGGAATGTGTTGCTTTTCTCGCGGCAGGTACACAGTCCTCAGCAGCGCCTGGTAGGGTGTGTGGGTCCGTGTCAGGAGCAGGGGCCACGTCAGGAGGAGGGTCCATGACAGCAGCAGGGTGCAAGACAGGCGCAGTGGGTACCTGAGGAAGAAAAGAGGGTGCCCAGAAATGTTGTGGGTGAGGTGGTGCTGCAAAGGGTAATGGTGGGCAGACTGGAAGGAGGAGGTGCGGGATGAATGTGTTCAGGGCGGTTGGAAGGCTGGCGTGGAGCAGTAGCCTTGAATGCAGAAACCGCCTGATGTAGTGTTTGTAGTAGGTCATGACGGGCAGCAGAAGTGAAGTGGTCAAGGTCAGAAGTAAGGAGTGTGATTTGCTTCTTTATAGTGATGGAAGTCATGGCGCCTACCCGTCTCTGCCGATGTCGCTTTGCCGTGTGGTTGCAGGGAGCCTCACAGCGTCTAGCGTTAGCACCAAAACGTTGATGGTACCAACAGGGGGTAGATACACTGTGCTGGGGGCTGGGGGGCGGCATCTGAGGTAGGACGGGTGTGTTGGGGTCAGTAGGACGTGGTGCTTGGGGCAGGAAGAGGAGCAGCTGCATGCTTGGAGGAGCAGAGCTGCTCTAGGGTGTCTAACCTGCGGTGTAGGGACTGTAGCTGTAGAGCCGATGAAAGCTGCCTCCGTGTGGATAAGCCAGTCTTCAATGTTGTGATTGAAGACTGGGAGAGTGATCAGTTTCTCCTCCATCCTGTGTGAGTGCGATTCTCCGGGATCACCATTTGAGGGGTTTCATGATGTTGGTTCACACTCAGGATGGGTTGGAGAAAGAAAAGTTACAATGCGCTCTCTGTATACATATTGTATTGGATGTACAGTGCAGCTTGGTGCTGGGAAGTGGCAGCGTGGTTACAAGCGTGGAGTAGAGAAAGCTGTTCGGGAGCGTGCTCAGAGGAGGTGTTGCTTGCTGCGTGGCTGTAGGTAGAAGAAGGGCAGGTCACGGCGAGGTGAGGTCTTATATAGCGGAGGTAGGTGTGGCTTGATAGTTGACCTCCGCTATGTTAGGAGGCGCTAGTTACTGACTTTAGACCACGAGGCGTTGGCTGGGGAATTCGAAAAGGGGTCGGCAAGTCAGCGACAAATGGCAGTTGTAGTTGTAGGGGAAATATCCACTACAGGCACATCAGAAATGGTAGGTGTACAAGACCTATTCAAACAAATGGCAACATAGTTCTTGCCATGTGGAAAGGAATTTTACTCTAATGGGTCGAAGAAACTACATTAATAGAAACAATGTGAAAAGGACCTGAGTGTGTATGTTGACAAT